TTCATTTGCTGAAAATGTAATCATTCTCCAGTTTCTTATTTAGTCTTATACCTTTGTTTGTTAAAAGGTTGTAAAGACAACTCTAATTATCAGTTAATATGTACTCCATATTGGAAGTACAAGTTTATCATGAAACACATCAATATATTTTTCATTATGAAGAAATCATCTGCTCAAGAGGAGAATAAAGTGTTAGTAAATTTGAATTTTCAGGCTCCTAAAGGAAATTGTAAGTGCAGAGGGCCCTACTGGAGCATCAGAAAAATAAAGTAAAATACTAGAGAGGATACAGAAGAATTAGAGATTATCAAATCCACTACAATTGGTTTGGTTGTGCTACCACTGATTTACAACTTCATATTAGAAATTTGCTATACTAGACTGGACTACCTTAATCATTTGTTCTCACAAACATATGACTTGCCTCTTGAAGTGAACAGCTTGGGAAGGAAAGGAGCTAAAATCAAAACAGAAAAATGTTACATTTCAATATGTAAATACTAGGGCAAGTATAAATTTTAAAACGATACAGTAATTGACCATACCATGTAAGTCATTTACGATATTACTGCAAATAAAATCCTGAAACTATTATGCAAATTAAGAAAAGATGGGTCCAACTGACCTAGAGCTCCACATCATCACTAGAATTAATTAAAAATGCAAAAAGTAAAGAAGTTGCAAATTGAGAAATCCTTGTTACAATTCATGTAATAGTCGGATTATTTGATAACAAAACAATCCAGTATACATTCACATAAAAAATAAATCCCTCATGCCACATGTAATTTATCAAACTACAGTTTACACTGATTTGTCCCTAGGGCTGATAAAAAATATCTGCAAGAGGGTCACTGAAAAGAAAGGTTCTTACAGAGAAGTCACATGTATGTTTGGAAGATCAGCCTTTTGTTTGTTTCCAGTTTTATTAGTGGTTTTCATTTTTAACTTTACAAAGCAACATTTATATTTTCTGAGTTAATATTTTTTAATAACTAAAGGTCTTGTTTATTTGAAAACTGCACCAGTTTAAGTAGAGACATGATTTTAAATAGAATTAGTTAAATGGGTGCTAAATCCTACATGGACAATCTTAATTCAATTTTAACCTTGTTTATACTGATTTAGTTTAACTTGATTCTTTTTGAGGTAATTTGAATCAGTATAAACTAGATTTGAATTGATTTAAGAGAGCCCACACAATCTCACACCCATTTAAGTAACTGAGTTTTCAAGAAGTTCAATTGGTATATCTTTGAATATAGAAAGACCAAAGTGTGGTTCTATTCTGAAGAGTAACCATCTTCAGAATTGCAGTATTCCACATTGCTGTATCTCAAACACTTCCAGTTCAAAAGTACTCTGTTAAAATTATTACAATGTAATTTATCATGGCAAACCCTTCAAACTTAACCTGAGATCTGAAAGTCAAGCTGGGTTTTATCTACCTTGCTCTACCATCAGTAATTATAATTATACTTTCTAATTTCCTGTCTTTGGGAACACTGCTTTTAATGTTAATTGTACACTGTTAAATTAAACTGTTAGTTTTTGTGCAATTTCAAGTACAACTTGGTCCTCATTAGGGTCTCCTGTGCATTATCATAATACACACAATAAGCAATTCTTCCTATGTTTGGAACAATTCTCTTCATAATTACACTTAAGCAAAGTTCAAAATCTCGCTCCTGTGAAAAATTCCAACACATAAATGTTTGTTTTGTGTCCTAAAGCAAAAACAAAAGTTGAAATTAAAGTTGTGGAATGGAAATTATGAAAAAAAATATAAATTTGGAATTTTTGAAACATTTCATTTGACATTTTTGCCTTGGATTGCTTCAGTATTAAACTATGTTTTTTAAACTGAATTTTTGCCTCATAGTAGATGATCCAGAGCCCAATGCCCCCTATTTCATAGCTCCATAGACTATCTGTACCATGATACAACTAGAGTCTTACGATACACCCTGTTGTCCAGTCAGAGGCAAACTGATATTTTACTCCTGGAGATTCAGCCCTCCAGGGAGTCATGCCAATAGGAGAGAATGAAGGCACAAACAACTCCTCCTGTAAGGAAATGCACTTATAGGGGAACTTAGTTTAGTTATTTGTTGAGCTGATCTTAAGTTGAACACGTAAAGTGAGTTTAAAAAAATTCAGGTGAAATCAGAAAGTTTAGATTTTGTGGAAACTAAATTTCATTTGGAAAATTATTCTGATGGATTACTCCTTGTCTAACTCTATTCATAATAATGAGGAGAAAAAGAATTCATTTCACTCGTCAACCTTAGTTGTTCTATGAACATGAGTAAAAAAATATAAAATAACCATAAACCAGCCCCCTCACCCCCCTCAAAAAAAACCAAACTAATCACAAAGCCAAGTAGATCTGGCAGTTGGTATATGGAGGTGACAGTTTGTACAAAAGGTGACATTTTTACATATTTACTCTTCGGAAGACAGCCACATTCTGTTTTTTCAAGTAACATAAGGAGTTTGCTGTTGTGTGGCTTGACTTTAACAGGAAAACAGCTACCAGTTGGTTTTTTTAATTTCAGTTGCCAAGGCTTGTGTTTGAAATCACATAGCTGTGATATTGTAAAAGCTATTGGTATTTGGTGCAAAGACATGCAACAAACCAGTTGCAGGGTTTGCAGAGATTTGTGGAGCTGGCATGAGCCCAAGAGTAATGTTATAGGATCATTAACTACTATATTTGTTTTCTCAGCTGTTGCTTCCCTACAGGTAGGCAAGACAGGCTTAGTTTCAAAGATCCGGGCTAGCAAGAAGGTAAAACTAAAACACTAGGAGGGTTTTTTTGTTGGTAAGTAACACTTAACGCATTCATGTTATTACTACAATGTCATCTCCCCATTATTTAATCCAGTTGGAGAACCCTGCCCACATGTAGTAGCATATATCACGCTAAGTTTTAGAGTTCCAGAAAGGAGAATAACCAGGAAATAGTGACACTGTTGATGTCCATTAGCAGTGCAACTGAGGCACTGCCTGATGCTACACAATAGAACCAAACTCCATGGGGATGATGAGATCCATTTATCAGGAGATGGCACTGACCTGCGTTTGTAACATTCAAAATTTCACTGTGGACTTATCTTGCTTGCCGAGCTATTTGTGATGGGGAACACGCAGGCTAATTAGTGACATTCCTATGGCAAATAACCCTGCCCGCGTGTGAGAAGTTAATTTGTTCTAATATGTACAGTTGAATCTCAGAAAGTAATGGTGAAGTGTAAAATCTGTAGTGGTACGAGTCTTGAGATAAAAATAATATGGTGATTGTTGATCAGATGTACTCTGTATATACATATAGGATTTCACAATGGAAATGTCACTTTCTTATAGAGGAAAAGAACTAAAGGGCATGCTTTGATTGCCATGATGCAGTATATACAAGAACTTAAATTTACAATCGACTGTAAAGGCTTCTAGGCTGGGTGACATTTCCCCCCCCAGATCACTATACAGCTTTAAGCAATGTTTCAAAAACTTCCCTTTAAACCATAGAAACTATGTAACTATAACTATATATTTTTATATTTATTTATGGTACATGTCCAGGATAATGATTTGGAACCTGACAGCACTGCCACTGACTTTTCATTGCTATAAAATCCTAGAAAGGGGATCTAGTTTAAACTAGCACAGTAGTTGTCTAGAGTATGTTATCCATGTAAGGCAGGAAAACATCCAGCAATGGTCACAAATATACATTTTTAAATAAATCAAACAAATAGGACTGTTGAAGATTAAAATGTTTATGGCTTAGTCCCAACATCAGTTAGGCTTTTTCTTAATTTAATTTCAAACCACTAGACCAGTGTTTCTCAAACTAGGATACGCATATCTCTAAAGAGTAGGCAAGGGGAAGAAATGGGCAAGCAGCAGCTGCAAAGGCAAAATATATTTGAAAAAAAAGGAAGGAACAGAAAAGCAAGTCTGAAATATACCTTAGGTCATTGGAGAGGTTACAGTGTAATTGTTGTGAGAAAGCATTTTTTTTCGGTCAATCACAGGGGATTTTAGGGGTAAATCATAGTAAAACAATAAAAAAATGGGTAGCCAACCCAAAAGTGTTTGAGAATCACAGCCCTAGACTAATTTTTCTTTTAGTGTTTTTGTTATTCATATATTGTCTACATTTTTACTTTAAATTTCCCCTGCGTGTGACATCACAAGAACATATGGGAGTAAGAAGAACATAGGTAGAAACTCAGTGATGACTCAAAAGTTCTTCTTCAACATGTTAACAAGTGCCAGTCTTTTAGATTTCTTTCATAATATGACATGGTTCTTCACTGCCCAATAAATAGTAGAACACAATTCCCTGAATAAATCAGAGATCTGATCTCAGTTGACTTTGACAGTCCCATTCCCAAAATTAGTAATGTTCAGTTATTCTTATGCTCGCATCTGCAGCCAGGTGCAATCCCTTTTCCCATCCTCTCACCATGGAATACAGAGTAAGCAGTTTTATACCCCCAGCTCCAATGAGAAAGGAAACCACAGGTGAATCTACAAGAAGTGAGAGATTGAAGTTTCTCAACAGCCTCCTTTATTCCTCAGAGAGAAGAGGCTGCGAAGAACGGAAGTGTTGCTCCACACTACAACATACTGACTCTCAAAAGATTGAATTCTGGGAATAGTCATTGTGTCCATTTCCACTGCTGTAGTCCTCCATGTGCATCACCTAGCAGTTCTGTAAGCAGCAGTGCAATGCCCTAGGCTTTGCTAAACCTCCGTGAACAAACTCAAGAGCATTCTACAAGGAGATACTGCTTAATCAATTTTGCCAGGTCACAGTATAGGGCATCCTATTGAACCCAGTAGATATGTAATCTGTTTGCAGAGCAACAATAAACACCACCAGCAGCCCATTAAATAACCGGGAACCTAGGAGATTAGTTGCAAAGGTTAATATTAAGATTTTTACAAAATTTGGCTGTTAACACTTTAATAGGAAATATGTAATTAATTACCTGCAAGGTTGTCAATTTCCTTCTCTTGGAGCAGACTGACAGCATCATCATCACCTTCCAGCATGAGCTCAGTTTCTGCATTTTGATTCACTACAGCTTGACTTCGGAAGGTTTTCTTTGACTTTACTACATCTTCTTCAGTGCCTAAATAAAAAGCAAAAATATGATTTTGAGCATCTACTTTTTTGTATAAAGCATTCATAGTCAATGATTCAGCAGTCCTAAAGTCTTTAAGAGTGTGTGTGTGTGTGTGTGTGTGTGTGTAGTTTTGTAAACAAATTTTATTTTGAAAAAGTAGAACACTCCAAACAGAGATAACATTTTATAAGAAGTTTAGCAGTCATTACAGAATGTGCATTATCTTTTTCAGCCTTTTTGAAACAACTTTGAAAATTACCTCTGGGTGATTAAAAAAAATAACTAAAATGTAAATATTAAATTTATAAAATGAGTCAGTAAAATCTTGATATCAACAAGACCTGTAACAATTATTTTATCAAGAACTCTGCTCACATCCATTTTTATCTACCTTGATAAGCGCTCTTCAGAAGAATAACACATCAGCTTAAGAAAGGTACCTTCTGGCACACTTCTGAAAACTATAACGTTTAATCTGTACTGTTAGATGAGGAAATTATAAAAAGTGATTACCTTCTCAAAAAAAGTTTCAAGATACTGAAATAACTGTCTGAGAGAATGGTGCATGGCAACTATAAACAGTATCACAGTGTGGTATCCTTCAAATAACATTTTAGCATCAACACTGATTCTTTCACAATCGGAGACAGACAAGTCTTTTTTTCCCCACCACTAACATATGCCAGTATGCTACCTGGTACTATCTCCCACTTTTTCAAGGAAAATAATGTAAGAGATTATGCAGAATGTATGGCACTTATTTATTTTTATACGCCTTCAACTTCAATTCAGGACGCACAGTACATTAACATTGATGTAGCACACTTAAGTGGGACTTAAGTGCCATGTTGGGTCAGATCACAGGTGTATCCATGTACCACTTACTAAGGGGAAAAGTATTTATGCAGGGTTTATATATGATCGGTTCTTTTCCCCTCTTTTCTTACAGCTTCCAGCAGTTAGAGAGGTTTGAACTTGGAAGTTATAATTTTAAGTATAATGTTAAATATCCACAGATGGACCCATTCTACATTAAGTAGTCCAATCCTCTTTTGAACCTGGTTAAGTTATCAGCCTCCACAACAAAGTATGGAGATGAGTTCACAAAATAATCACATGCTGTGTGGAAAAAAAACCCCTTCATATTGCTCAGTTTAGCCTTACTACCAAATAACTTCATTATTTATCCCCTAGTTTTAGTATTGTGAGAGACGGCACATAGTAAATCCTGATGTATTTTCTCCACACCATTCATGATTTCACAGACTTTTATTATATCTCACACCTTAGCTGTTTTTCCTCCAAGCTGATAGGTCATAGCCTATTTAGTCTTCCCTGGTACAGAAGCCTCTCCATATCCCTCATCATCCCTGTTGCATTTCTCTGTATTGTTTCTCATTCTATTCTATGTTTCTGGAGGTGGGGGAACAGAACTGAATACAGTATTCAAGGTTTGGTTGTACCATGGATTTATATGTTGGCATAATCATAAAATCATAGAAAATCAGGGTTAGAAGGGACCTTGGAAGGTCATTTAATTCAATCTCCTGATCAAAGCCAGACCGTCCCCAACTAGATCATCCCAGCCAAGGCTTTGTCTAGCCTGGTCTTAAAACCTCTAAGGCTGGAAAGTGCACACACAACCTCTCTGGGTAATCTGTTCCAGTGCTTCACTACCCTCCTCATGAGAAAGTTTTTCCTAAGATCTAACCTAAATTTCCTTTGCTTCAACTTGACAGCATTATTCCCTGTTCTGTCACCTGCCACCACTGAGAGCAGTCTAGCTCCATCCGCTTTGGACCCACTCTTTCGGTAATTGAAGGCTACTATTAAATCCCCTGTTAGTCTTCTCTTCTCCACACTAAATAAGCCCAGTTCCCTCAGCTTTCCCTTAGAAGTAATGTGCCCCAGCACCCCTACTATTTTTGTTGCCCTCCTTTGGACTCCAATTTGTCCACATCCTTTCCGTAGCGGTAGGCCCAAACTGGACACAGTACTCCACATGTGGCCTCATCAGTGCCAAACAGAGGGGAAGAATCATTGATCTGCTGGCAATGCTCCTACAAATGCAGCCCAGTATGCCATTAGCCTTCTTTGCAACAAGGGGACATTGTTGGCTCATATTCAGCTTATTGTCCACTGTGACCCCCCGGGTCCCTTTCTGCAAAGCTGCTGCTTAGCCACTCAGTCTCCAGCCTGCACTGGTGCATGGGATTGTTCTGTCCTAAGTGCAAGACTTTGCACTTGTCCTTATTGAACCTCATGAGATTTCTTTTGGTCCAATCTTCCATTTTATATAGGTCTCTCTGAATCCTAGTCCTATTCCAGAGTGATCTACTACTCCTCTTAGCATCATGTCATCTGCAAACTTGCTGAGGGTGCACTCCATCCCATTTCCAGGTTGTTGATGAAGGTATTGAACAAAACCAGCCCCACGACTGACCCCTGGGGGCACTTCACTTGATACTGTCTGCCAACTAGACATCAAGCCCACTACCTTTTAACTTGGATGATCTAGCCAGTTTTCTATCCGCCCTGAAGTCCCTTCATCCAACCCAGACTTCTTTAGCTCACTTGCAAGAAAGTTGTGAAAGACCTTATCAAAAGCCTTGCTAAAATCAAGATATATTACATCCACTGCTCTTCCTGCATTCACAGAGTCAGTCGCCTCATCATAGAAAGTAATTAGGTTGGTCAAGCAAGACTTAACCTTGGTGAATCCATGCTGACTGTTCCTAGTCTATTTCTTCTCCTCCAACTGCTTAGAAATGGATTTCTTGAGGACCTGCTCCATATTACCAAGGACTGAACTGAGGCTGTAGTTCTTTCGATCCTTCTACTTCCCTTTCTTAAAGACAGGTACTATATATTTGCCTTTTTCCAATCGTTCAGGACCTCTCCCGACCACTACAATTTTTCAAAGATAATGGCCAATGGCTCTGCAATTACATTGACCAACTCCCTCAACACCCTCAGGTGCACCGTGTCTCACCCCATGGACTTGTACAATGCCAGCTTTTCAAAATAATCCCTAACCTGTTCCTTCACCATTGTTGGCTGCTCACTTCCTCCCCAAACTGTGCTGCCAGGTGCAGTAGTCTGGAAGCCAACCTTGCCTGTGAAGACTGAGGTAAAAAAGGAATTGAGCATTTCAGCCTTTTCTGCATCATCTGTCACAAAGTTGCCTCCCCCATTCAATAAGGGACCGACACTTTCCCTCATCTTCCTTTTGCTGCTGACATAATTATAGAAACCCTTCTTGTTATCTTTCATATCCCTTGCTAGCTGCAACTCCAATTGCACTTTGTTCTTTCTGATTTTATCCCTGCATGCCCTAACAATACCGTTATAATCCTCTCTAGCCATTTGTCCAAATTTTGACTTCTTTTAAGCTTCCTTTCTATATTTTAGCTCACTCAAGAGTTCCCTGCTAAGCCAAGCTGGTGTTCTGCCATACTTGCTTGCTTTCCTGTGCATCGGGATGGTTTCCTTCTGCGCCCGCAGTAAAGTTTCTTTAAAATACAACCAGCTTTCCTGGATTCCTTTCCTTCTCAGACTGGCCTCCCAGGAGATCCTGCCCATCAGTTCCCTGAGTGAGCTGAAGTTTGCTTTTCTGAAGTCCAGGGTCAATGACCATTTCCTGTTTTGTTTTCACATCTCTTTTTAGAAATTCCTAACCTTTTGTCTTTTTTACTTATGTTCCACAGATAGTTGATATTTCTAGAGAACTATCCATAAGAATATGAAGAACTCTTTTTTTGAGTAGTGACAGTTAATGTAGAGTCCATCACTATATATGTGCACCTCAGGTTATTCTTTCCCATGTGCATCATTTCACACTATCAACACTGAACTTATTCAGTGCCTAGTCTCTCAGTTTTGCTACATCCCTTTGCATATCTTCACAGTTAGTTTTGCTTTTTGCCACCCTGGAGAATTTGGTGCTATGTGCAAAAGCAGTCACCTCACTATTAACTCCTCCTTTCCATTTCCAATAATTTACAAATGCATTAAACAGCACAGATACCAGCACAGACCCTTGACAGACTCCACTGTTTATCCCCCTCCTTTGTGAGAGCTGAACATTTATACCTACTCTGTTTTCTGTCCATTAGTCAGTTACTGATCTACAAGTGGACCATGACTCTCATACTACAACAGCCTAATTTCATTAAATACTTTGTTGCGGGACTTTGTCAAATGCTTTTTGAAAGTCCAGGTACGCTCTGTCAACCGGATCCCACTGATCCTCATTGCTTGTTGATGCCCTCGAAGAGCTTGAGTAGATTAGTGAGGTATGAACTCCCTTTACAAAAGCCATGCTCACTCTTCCTCAGTAAATCCTGTTCAGATTTACTGAGGACAAATGTGACAGACCATTATAATTTTGACCTAGTTTGCCAGGAAGAGAAATTAGGTTCATTGTTCTGTACTTCCTTGGTTCCCCTCTGGAATCATTTTTAAAGAGTGGTTTTATTTTGTCTACCCTCTTGTCCTCCATTATAGAGGCTGATTTCAGTGATGGGTCACATCAGCAGATCCACAATTTCAAGTTTAAGCTCCTTCAGAACTTCTGAATAAATACTGGTGATATGCCACCATGCATCAGATGCTTCTATGTCCTCCCCTTCTGACCCCTCAATTGGAGTCAGTTCTCTTGATTTGTACCAGTGTAAATTACACTTGTGTCTGGAACCAACAAGCCAGATCTCCTTGGAGGGATACTGCAGTATGTGCTATTACAATGCTTCAAATACTGGTTTGCTGGAGAATTGGAAATAGCTTGTTAGGACTAAGCAAATGGCTACCAGGGAAGAGAAGCAGACACATGGTATGTCTTCTGGTGTAGTTTTGCCCCTGATTTTCTCTGGGGTAAGTGATCAGCTCCACACAAGATTTGAGTAAGTTATACCAATGCATGACTATATACCATATATCTTCAGGCGTAAATCTATTGCGTGTTCAAACCCCTGGATATTATTAAACTTAATAATGCCACTGGCAGT